GGGAGAGGTGCGTCTGACTCCGGGCTACTTTTACACTGCTGCCGCGGGTTATTATTCAAGTTAGCGGTTCTAAATACAAATAAATAAGCGCTAACAGCACATGACATTGTAAAAATAAGGGGAAATATTAAGTTAGCAAAACATCTACAGAAAAATATAACTGTTACCGGATTAACCTGGCTGCCTTCTCACAAGACCCTCTGCTTTGCAGCACAGTTAATGATATGCTAAGGATAGGATCCCTTGACGCGATTGGTTATTGAATTTTGTGTCGTAGAAGAAAAAGGGCTGTTTCAAACCGCGTTTCTGTGACTGCCTTTGGAAAACTACCGTTTTAAGAAGAAAATACTCAGCAATGGTGTTGATAAATGGATTGGCACATGGTTTGTCTAAAAGCATTTTAAAAACACCACAGAGAAAAATAAGCAACATAAAAAACTTGATTTTGACCACAGGGGAACTTTAAATGATCTTTTGTGGATATTTTCACAGGCAAATTTAGTTTGCGATTAATTAATCGCCACATCATGTAATTAATTAGATTAAAAATTCGACTGACCGCCCTAATATTAATATGCAATATATATGATAATATATAATTGTTTCACTGGAGCTTAATACTGTATATGTTCTTACCACAGTATCTCCAGTTTACAGCGAGGATCCTTCAGTCCATCAGAGATCAGCTTCACTCCTGCATCTCCTAGTTTATTCTTAGACAGATCCAGTTCTCTCAGATGTGAGGATTTTGATCTCAGAGCTGAACTCAGAGCAGCACAACCTTCATCTGTGACGCCACAATCACTCAACCTGCAGAACAACGACACACTCTTCACTCTCAGTTCAGGATATAAAGTTTAACAGCACAACACAACAACCATAAAATTCACAAATACATAACTTTACAGAAATACAGACAGGCAAAGTTCACTATATCAGAAGATTAGAGATATTCTCACTAGAAGAGCAATAGATGAGGTTTCACAGACATTCACAGAAAACACAGGTGAAAGACATTCAAAACCCAAGCCTTGAAATTAGCATCTTAATCTCGAGTTCACTGTTAATGTGGAAAGGCAGAGACACCCAAGAGTGACTTTTGTCTAAAAAAAATCAGGCAAAATTAATACTACCATTGACAACAAAGAGTAGAGAATATCTGCACTACAGCACAGATGATTACACTCAATGCTACTTACTCTGCTGATCTGGAGGTTTCAACTACAGGCAAGAGCTTCAGAAGAACTTCATCAGGAGTCATGTGGTTTTCTTTGTACTTGTTACTTATATATTTACTTAAATCAAATTCATCCAACTGCTCTGAGGTCAACAAAACAAAGACAACAGCTGACCACTGTGACGAGGACAATCTAGCGTCTGACAGACCTCCAGATCTGAGATACTCCTGGACTTCATTCACCAGAGAATGATCACCCAGTTCATTTAAACAGTGGAACAGATTGATGGATTTCTCTGTTGAGGGATTCACTCTTATTTTGATTTTAATGTACTCAATCGTTTTCTCTTCACTGTATGAGATGTTCCCAATGTGTGACAGAAGATATTTCAGGAGCGTCTGATTGGACTCCAGTGAGAGACCCAGAAGAAATCGGAGGAAAAGGTCCAGATGTCCATTCTTACTCTGTAAAGCCTTGTCCACGGCTCTCTGATGCAGGTCAGATATTGTGTAACATGTGTCTCAGACTTCTTCCTCAGATTTGATCTAAATGTCTTGAGGGGTTCTGCATGTTGAGGGCCATGACTGTAAAATGAAAATAACAAATGATTATAATTATGCATAATCACATTTCATAATATATGCATACTTCATGTACTATATTTGATAACAACCAGTTTGTTAAGAGATCTTCCTTTATTTTAGTCTAGACTGTTTAGTATGATTATGTGATTTTATATTACAATATTGTCCTAATATCAAATGTCTTTTATTATTCAAAGGTTTAACACAACTTAACAGAAAAAGAAAATGAGAGAAACAAAGAAAGGCCTGCATGTGAAATAATGTGGTGGAGTGTATTACTGTAGTGCAAAAC